AAGGGAGTACCATGAAATAAGACTGGAAAGGATAGGAAGCATCTAGATCTTTAGATTTGAGATCTTTAAATGCTGGGCTGAGGAGTTCCTGTTTTGTCCTAGAGGCAATAGGGAACACTTGATGAAGGTCTTTTGAGTTGGGAGTGATATGATCAGATATGCAGTTTTAGGAATCTCAATCTGGCCACTCTGTGAAGGATAGTTTGGAAAAAGGAGAGACTAGGCTGAGGGAGAGCCATTAGGAAGTTAGTGAGATGGTATAGGTTAGAAGTGACCAGCACCTGAATTAGAGTGGGGACTGTGTGAATAGAGAGGACACTGATGTGACACATTCCGAAGACAGAGAATCAACAACCCTTGGCAGCTGATTGGATGCTGAGTGTGAGAAGGAAAGAAGAATCAAGTGACTATTAAGGCTAGGGGTACCCTTAATAGAAGTAGGGAAATGTTGAGGCAAGATGTAGAGGGAAATGAGGAGTTCTGTGGTAGAAATGGTGCATTGGAGATATGTGCAAGAAGAAACAAAAGAGGGTCACTGAGGCATCTTTTTTTTTTTAATGCAGAGAAGAGAACAGAAGGAAGGCCAGAAAGAAGCAGAAACAAGTATGACGTCTTTGAATGTACTAAAGACGTATACTGAAAAAGAAAAACAAAACTGTACATATTAGAGATCTTAAAGTTTCATGTGCAGTGTTCTTTTGGTGTTCTGCTGTTATGTGGAAATGTTCATTTTATTTGGTCTTTAAGTTCAGAATAAACAAAAATTTAAGTCTGGTTTGTACTGTGGGTACTCTGGAGTTCAGGAGACAGAGCAGGGCTAGATATCCAGATTTGGGAGTCATTTGCATAGAGATGAAAGTTGAAGCCATGGTGGTGATGAGATCACTAAAGGAGAGTGTCGAGAAAGAAGAGAAGAGGGCCCAGGACGGAGGCATGAGTAATGCTCAGATGATCCAGCCAAGGTGACCAACAGCAGCTGTCAGGCATCGAGGACAAAAACCAAGCAAGCAGCATTAAGGAAGCATAGGGACGACGGTGATCCACAGGGTCAGAACTGACTGAGGACAGCAAGCAGACTAAAGACTAGGGAATTAGTTTGGGAGATAATGTCATAGGATCATACATTTAGAATTGGAAGGGACCTTAAAGGCTACTGAGCCACCTCATTTTACTGATGAGGAAACTGAGGCACAGAGAGGTTAATCACATAGCTAGTAAGTTTCTGAGGTGGGATTTGAGCTGAGGATGTTGTAGACTTTAGAGAGTATGTACATCTTAAATCAAGCAACTAACACCATTTGTCAAGTGCCTGGCACTGGGGATAGTGAGAGTAGTCTGTGCCCTCAGAAAGTAGGCATTCTACAACATGTCCATGGATACATGCATAGAAGATAGATATTAACTAAATACCTAATAATTGGGGGATGGGAGAGGGGTTCAGGAAAAACCTCCCGAAGGAGGTGACACCTGAGCTGAACAGGTGAGCTGGGGAAGCTTTCAGACCTGTAGGCATGGGATCCTGTCTCCCTATCCTCCTCCCCCAGAATGTAAGCTCCTCAAGGGCAGGGCCTGTGTCAGTTTTCATCTTTCCCCAGGGCTGGGACTAGCACAATAGACAATAAATGTTTAAGGTGAATTATCTTCTGAAGACATCCTTTCTGAAGGCTGCGCTGAGGCTGTGATTGTGTTGTCCTTAATTGGGCTTCCTCTTTTTCTTTGAGGTGTCAAGCACTGGTTTGTGGGCCCTGGACAGCTCTTCACAGCCTAATGCCATGAATGTGGAGGTGGATAATGTGGAGGAGAAAGCTGTCCATTCATGGTCCAGAATCTCCTCTGCAGGACAGAAAGCCTTGGAGGAAGCACTCCTGGTCTTCAACCCCATGTCCAAGGACCTCAGTGACACGGAGGCCCAACTGGTGGCCTTTCTCCAAGGTCTCCGGGAGGAGGGCTACCAGCCCACTATCCTTCGGAGCAAAGATGTGTATGGCTATAGCTCCTGCACAGCCGACCCCCCCAGCCAAACCAAACACCATGTTGGCCCTGCTGCTCAGGCCAAACCACTGCCCTCGGACGTTCCCAAAGCCACTTCCAGGAGCCTGCTGGCTGTCCCAGGGACCATCCTGGGGAGGTCTTCTAAAGTCTCTAGTTCCCCAATAATCAAAACCAGCTCCACCAACCTTTTGTTGAACTCTCTGAAACAGTCAGGCTCAGGCAGTGGCAAGAACTCATCTGTGGGCTTCCCTACCCACATGTATCCTGGAGTATACCCGGCTATGCGGCTCTCTGTTGTTCTGGAAGCCTTGGTCCCTTTAAAGGCTACAGCATCCTGTTTAAACTCCAAGTACAAGCCTCTGGGGATCTCACATTCAGACCTTAAGTTACTGAAGGGCTCAGGGAGATCCCGGCAATCAGCTCCCAACAAAACCACTAATAAAGGGCACCGGTGTTTGATCCGGAAAGCACCAGACCGGGCTGCCCTCTCAAAGGGTGGGCGACGGGGCCCCAGTGGTGGCGTCCTTCGAGAGAGCAATGCCTGCAAAGCTTCAGGCATCCTAAATGGTAGGCGTCGAAAGAAGGGGACCCAGGCGAAGACTTCTAAGAGCGGGGCCAGGACTGCCTGTAGGGGTGGCAGAGGCAGCCATCCAGAAGCCACAGGGCCAAAGAGGAAAAGATCAGAGGAAGCTAAAGAAACCCCAGCCAAGAAGAAAAGCAAGTTGGGGCCTGGACTAAGCAAAGCTAGGCTAGTGCCAAGCTCGCCAAACCTCCTGAAGTTCCGGGTCATCAAAGTGAATAAACGATTCTCTGATGAGGAGGTGCGGCAGAGAGCACAGAAGATCCTGAGAGTCAATTTGTCTCCAGTGATCCGGATCCAGCCACTGCCCCATTCTGTCTCCTGATTGACTCAAGGTCCAGTCCAGGGCCCATTTCCCTCTGACCCAGCCAGTCCACACACCACTGCCCCCCTTCTCCCCCAACTCATCCACCCTCCCCTGTGGGAAGGGGGAGTGAGAAATTTTGATTCTCCTGCTGGTGGCTGGAGCAGCATGGGTGTTGGGTGACAGTGTGTTAGCTGATACCTGCAGACTCTGGGCAGCTTGCTCCATTCCTGTTTCAGGCTTTCTGGCCAGCAGGCCCCTGGGACTGCCTGCCTGGCTCTGAGCCACGTTCAGAAATGCAGGGAGATGCCTCCCCCGTCCTAAGGGAGAGAGCAGGGTCTAACTACCCACTCTCAAAGAGCCACTTATGGCTTCACCCCAACAGACCTTCCCCAAACCCTTGGGGGAGGCAGTTTTGTCATGACGTGATGCACTGTGATTTGTTATTTTCCAAGCTCTATGTTTACTGATTTCATTTTGATCAAGTTTTATATCTTTCTATGCCCCCATTCCCCCACCCTATCCCAGTGTCTGCCTCCTCCATCAGGGTCAGAGCTTGGGGTTTCCTCCCTCTTTTCAGAATGCATTTATAACTCCTCTTGTTTTGGGTCCTCTTCATGCTTCCAGGAAAGTTGCCACTGAAGGAGTAGAGTGGATTGGTTTCAGTAACAGGTTAATTAACAGCCCCTGGCACTTTCCTTCTAAACTAGTGCCAGGGGGGCAGGCCTGCAGCCAGCCTACTTGGTGACCGTCACCTTAAGTACATTGATCTCAGTAAGGCATCTCCTCAGTGCTGTTGGGAGTGCAGCAGAGGGAGCCAGCGTATAAACTGGCAGGTAATTTAGTGTTCGGGATTTGTTCTGACTTCCTCTGGGTGGCTATAGAAGTCCCTGCTTTCTTGGAGTTTGCTTCTGTGGGTAAATGTGGGCAGAGGCCAGCTCCCCCATCCTGGGACAGCCTGGGTTTGGGCCTTGTGAGCAAAAAGGAGAGAGTCAGATGACTAAGCCCTTCTTTCTGCAAGATCATGGGGGAGCCTGCCAGGTGAGTGAGTGTAGGGTTGTGACCCTAGAGCTGATATCTAGGCCAAGAGAGGAAAAGAGGATTTTTTTTTTTTGGTCGTCTTCTTCCCAGGGGGACAGAACCAGACAGTGACTCCTTGTCTCCCATCCTTGCACACCATGAGTCTGTGGGCAACCATCCAGAACTTCAAGGCCTTTCCTCAGGGCTGCTGTTCCCTCCTGGCTGCTACTTTCCCCCCAGGGCCTTATCTCTAAATCCCTGCAGCTAGACCTTGAGGAATTGTGGCTGTCTAGCCCCAGCCTTTCTTCCCTTCTTTCCCTTCATCCTTGCCCAGAATCTGGTCCCTCCTCCCTTCCTTTCCACCCGTCATACTCTAGGGTCTTGGCTTTGGGAGTATGTGTGGAGGGAGGGGGAATGGGAAGAGAGGTGTTTAGTCTCTTGCCACGTGGAACAAAAGGATGATTGGAAGTAGGAATGGACTGGAGCAACAATGGTCACTGTGTCTCAGGACCAAGACTTTGAGGCCTTAATCCACCTCAGACCCCATTGTGGGCCTGTGAAACAGAGCTGGGAGCGATGGAGCCAGATCATGCCATGCCCCCTCCCCATCAGGGGAATACTCTGTTTCCAGGTTGGCCCCTAGTGCTAGTCAGGCGATGGCAGCTGCAAAGAGCTCCTCTGCGGATGGGTCGATATAGGTTCGGGGCCTGTGGGTGAAGTTCTCCACTATCCTCACTTTCATAGAAGTTGGGGAGGATGAGGTAATGACTGAAAGGCTTGGTCATCTCCATGGCAGTGGAAAGTATTTCCCAACTGGACCCCGGACTCTCAGATGGGGGGCTGAGCTGGCACTCCCCCCCCTCAAATTTGAATCCAAACAGTGTCCCCTTCCCCCTTCATCCTGCCCTCAAGTCATCCACCCTGCCTTTGCCCTCTGCTGTGTGTGGGTCCTTCAGAGTCCATAGTGGCAATGGTGGGGGTGGAGCCTAGAAGGCAGGTCACCATTCCTTCCCCGGTTGGTGTCCTTTGTGACTTTGGGAAACTCGAGGACCAGACCCTCATCCCTGCTGCGTGTTCATTGGTTTGTTTGTGACGTCTCCACGGATGCGGATCTGTGATGTTCGGTATGCAGTTGTGGCCTGTGAAGAGTGCAACTGACTTCAGGGGAAAGCCCTCAGGCCTCTGGGGTCTGAGGTCTTGCCTGCATTTAAGTTAAATGGGAATTATTGACCACTTGCAGGCCACTTGTTCTGCTGTCCTCAGTAAATGGTGCTTCATCCTCTGCATCTGTGTCTGAGTACTTTTTCCCAGACCTTCCCAGAGAGGAGCTGGAATTTGAAGGGATTGGAGGTGGGGAATGGGGACCTGCTGGGAATGAGAAGTGAGAATGCAGAAGTGGAAAATTGAGGAATATCCCCTTCCCTCCAATTTATCCTCAAGGACAATGTAAGGCTGGAAGGTTTTAGGAGAAAAATGGGAGGTCCTTATTTGTCTCTCTCCATAGAGGAATAGCAGGTAATCTCCATGGGCTGGCCCACTAGAGGCAGGAACTCCAGAGAATGGGGGAGGGGGTCATAGATTGAGCTGCAGGGTCCAGTGTGCCCAGGAACTTTTGGGGGGGTGGATCATAGGGAGAAGTTTGAGTTAGTCTTAAGGCAGGAGTACCCCAGCTCTACCTCCTCCATTCTTCTGAACCCCCCCCCCGCCCACTCACACACTCATACTTCAGTCTCCACCAAGACAGTAGGCCTTTCTGAGGCAGTTTAAGAATTTTTTCTGGCTCCTATCCCCTTCCCTGGCCCCAGACCTCTCACTGCTCAGCTTCCC